GAACATGCGCCATGATTGACTAGACGCCATTGGCCTTTCCTCCTTCTCTAGTCTCTATCAGCCTTTTTCCCGTCTTCCAGGCTCAGGTTCAAAATCTCATTAGTGTTCTGGGTTTCAGCTCCATACGACTCAGGGCACGCTTTTCTCCTACAAGTTACAGAAGGACCTTAAAGATTGGACACCATTAAAACTTGTGGGGGTAGGCAATAGCCAAGATGGTCAAGAAGGCCTGAGATAAATGGAGCAGGGTCCTCAATTTAGTGGTACTCACTACAAAAATTCACAGCTCTGCCCCAGGATACTTCAGCCGGAGAAAACAGTGGATAGCGAAGGAGAAGAGGTGACATGCTCATGATGGGCGGAGCGTGCACTGAGACGGGTGGAGCTAAAATGCAGAAGTCCTTAAGAAATAATGAGCTTGAAGCCTGGAGGGCGGAAAAAAAGGGAATAAAAGCTAGGAAAGCAGGAGGTCAATCACGTCAAGTCTATCACGACGCACGTTCCACTCATGCTGGGTGGGATCTGCGCCATGATAGGCGGCGCTGAAACGTTATGTAACAGCAACAGTCCACTACAAAAATTGAAATCCATTAGAAAGGATACTAAAACCCCTTAAGCGAGGTAATTGTGAAATAATGTGAGGTTTACATCTAAATCCCACAGTTCTCACCAAAACATTATACCGTTGAAATTTCTTAAATTCCCAATACAGCAATTCAGTGAATTTTGAAATCATTCAAATTATGGATGCTTCAAATACAAAATCTTCCATCGGTTCTGTGGAAAAACCAATATGTTCATGTCTATAAGATTCATAATACTTCAGAAAAATAGAAATTGTAAAGCACCATCTGAACTTGGTGTACTAATAACATCCGTTACTTACATAAACCTCCACCTGTTACTCTTTTTTTTTACATTTCTGCGTCATTTTCTCCCATTTTCACACATTTACGTCATTTCCAAAATTCAAGAAATATCTCCGGAATCGCTTCTTCTACTGACTGCTCAAGAACGGTCCGAATATTTATCACTACTATTGACACAACGTTTTGTGCAGACCGTCTACTCCAAAAAGACCACGCCCATTGGAAAGGTCAGCGGTACAGTAGCGCTCCTTATTTTATTGGACCATTCCTCTCGTATATTACCGAACTTCCACTCGTTCCTTTATTTTTATCCCCAACACATTTACTAGGCTGTTGAAACCATTTTACTGCTTTAACAGCTTTCAGAATTCCGAATTTTATCATTAACATCTGTTTCCCAACAATCACAACAGTAACAATACCAACAATTCCTAGAACTTTTTAATGGAATGTTGGATTGCTTTGAACAGATGTTAAGATAAAATTTCGATTCCTGAAAGCTGGCAGAGCAGTTAAATGGTTTCAATAGCCTGGTAACCGTATCAGGGGTAAAAATAAAGGAACGAGTGGAAGTTCGGTAATATGCGAGAGGAATGGTCCAATAAAATAAGGAGCGCTACTGTACCGCTGACCTTTCCAATGGGCGTGGTCTTTTTGGAGTAGACGGTCTGCACAAAACGTTGTGTCAATAGTAGTGATAAATAGTTCGGCCATTCTTGAGCAGGCAGTAGATGGAGCGATTTCGAAGATTCTTC